GTTCATCTTTGTGGACCTATTCTGCCTCTCAGATCCCTCCCAGGGACAGAGGTTTCAACTTTATGTCTTTTCTCCATGGTACCCATTTACACAGGCTTCTCTGATGGCTCAGCAGTAAAAGAATACACCTGCCCAGATCAGGAAGATCCCGTGGAGGAGGGCATGGCAACCCACTCCAATATTCTTGCCTGGAGAATCCCATGGACAGAGGAACCTTGTGGGCTACAGTCCATAAGGTCACAAAGAATTGGACACAACTAAAGCGACTTAGCATGCACCCATTTACATGGAGATCTTTCTTACAGGTTTGGTTGCAAAGAAGTTCTTCTACCAGTTTCCATTAGTTTTTCATGTGAATTGTTCCACATGTTTTGACATATTTTTAATGTCTTTTATGTGTAAAGGTGAGCTCCACATCCTCCTATTCCACCATCTTGATACTGTTCATCAATTTGTTTATGCCAAGGACACCCAGGACTACCCCTACTAAGCACTAGTATTAGGGAAACCACCTTGACTATGTGGATGACAGCTTGCCAGGCTTTTAACACCCTCTCATCATCATCTTTGTCTCTATTTTTCCATATTTTTTCAGCTTCAAGGTACTCCCTTCCAGATCTTGATAAGGTTCTCAGGGAAGAAGAAAACATTTTAGAGATAACGGATGATTCCAACTTCCATTATCAGACCACAGATCACTTTAAAGACTAGACAGTCAAAGGAACCTGCGGTATAACTCAGAGAAGAGAGGAGGTCAGAAGGAAGAGCACCTGTTTTCAAATATTTGAGATGCTGTCATGAGGAAGAGACTGACTCAACATATTCTCCAAGGGTGGAAGCAGGCACTGGGTGGTGACTGAGGGTAACCAGATCTCAGGTTGGGAGAAGGGGCCATTTCCTCACAACAGGGCTGTACTCTTAGGGGACTCGCTGCCTTGAGCTAGTGAACACTGCATCCCTGAGAACACGTGGGCAGAGGGTGAATGCCACCTGTAGGCTTATTCTGAAGAGGGTTCCTGCCTGAAGTAGAAACTATACTATCCCCTGTTAGAAAGCAGAAATGTCACCTGGGACAGTTCTACAGATGTTTAGCAGATGTCTGAGATAACAGCAGATGTCTGCTATAGATGTTTAGCAGATCTCTGAGATAACAGAGAGACTATGAAGGGCAACCTGGATAGGGTGTTTGATGGTGAAAAGAGTAAGACTGAGTGAAGGAAGATGCTCAAGACAAACTACCCACCTTACCACACTGTCTCAGTCATCACTGATATCCAAAGAAACAGTTCCTCTTTGGAGCTGCCCAGGACTCAGAGAAGGCACTCTACTCATTTTCTCCACCCCATTTTTTTTTTTAACCAGGGAGCCCTTCCATCTAGCAGCAAGTCCACTAAATGCCTCTGGCTGCTCTATGGTGCTATTTTGGAGAAAGTCCTCAGGCCTGGAGGATCAGATAGAAAGTCAAAAGTGAAGGGTAAGAGGCAGTTGATGAGTATATAATTGAGAATAGCCTTTGGGGGTTACCTAAGGTATCTTAGGTATCTGATACCCTTGATTTCAGCTTAATGGGTAGATGGACCAAGGAACACCACCCCAGTGTAGCTAAAGGAGGAGGATTGGGGATAATGTGTGGAGTGATAAAGAGCACAAGAGACCTACAGGCAGCTTGGACTGGACAACACATACCTCATATCAGAACTTCTCAGAATGAGCTAATAATAATGATTACTATACAAAATAGCAAGTCAAAGAATTATTCAGTGCATCTGGGTTTGCCCCACAGAAATTTGGAGATGTATATAGTGTCACATACTTTTATCTTTCTATCTCCAATTAGACTAACTCTCAAGCTCTAGTCTTTCCATACATTCCCTTAGCTTCTGTAAGAATCTCAAGTCTTACTTGGTCCCAGGAGCCAGGAGCAAGCCTAGCCCCTAGCCCCTAGTGAATGTCATTATTCCCACGGCTCCCATGTCACCTCTGTGGTGTCTAGCTCTCCCAGCTGGTCACAAAGTTACAGGGACAAGGACTATTGCTCTGAAGTCCTGAGCCATAATTGTTTTCTTTTCTTTTTTTTTAGTTATGTATATATTTAATTTTTTAAATGGAAGGATTATTGCTTTGCAATATTGTGTTAGTTTCTGTCATACATCAACATTAATCAGCCATAGGTATACATATGTCCCCTGACTCTTGAATCTCCCTCCCACCTCCCTCCCCATTCCACCCCTCTTTTAAGCCCAATTTTGAGTTCCCTGCATCAAACAGCAAGTTCCCACTATCCATTTTACATATGGTAGTGCATATGTTTCCATGCTACTTTCTCCAGTTATCCCACCCTCTCCTTCCCCAAACCATGTCCACAAATCTGTTTTCTATGTCTGCATCTCCACTGCTGCCCTGCAAATAGATTCATCAGTATCATCTTTCTAGATTCCATGTATATATGCATTCATATATTTGTTTTTTTTCTCTCTGACACTTCACTCTGTATAATAGGCCCTAGGTTCATCCACCTCATTAGAACTGACCCAAATCAAATGCATTCCTTTTTATGGCTGAGTAATATTCCATATATCTATGTACCACAGCTTCTTTATCCATTCATCTGTCAATGGACATCTAGGTTGCTTCCATGTCTTAGCTATTGTAAAGAGTGCTGCAATGAACACTGGGGTTCATGTTTTTTTTTCAGTTATGGTTTTCTCAGGGAAAAGGCCCAGTAATGGGATTATTGAATCATATGGTACTTTTATTCCTAGTTTTTTAAGGAATTTCCATACTGTCCTCCTTAGTGGCTGTATCAATTTACATTCCCACCAACAGTGCAAGAGGGTTCTCTTTTTCCCACATCCTCTCCAACATTTATTGTTTGTAGATTTTTTTGATGATAGCCTTTCTGATCACTGTGAAGTGATACCTCATTGTAGTTTTGATTTGCATTTCTCTAATAATGAGTGATGTTGAGCATCTTTTCATGTGTTTGTTAGCCATCTGTGTGTCTTCTTTGGAGAAATGTCTGTTTAGGTCTTCTCCCCACTTTTTGATTGGGTTGTTTGTTTTTCCGGTATGAGCTGCATAATTATTTATAAGATTTTTATTTATAAAAATATTTTATCAATAATGTCAGTAATTCATAAAGATAAGAAACCATTCACAATACCTCAGGATAGTTTGTCATTAATGTTATACAGATAGAAAACTATTCCTGTTGTTCAAAACACGTAGTTCTATAGCTTTAGGAAATATAAACAATTAGATGGTATAGCAGAGCAATACCAAGAAAATATTTTGACCTGCCCTATAGTATCTATGAATTACTTAGCTTAGAAATTTTGTTTTTATCTAGTTCAGACCAAGTAAAGTGAAAGTCATTCGGTCATGTCTACTCTTTGCGACCCCATGGACTATACAATCCATGGAATTCTCCAGGCCAGAATACTGGAGTGGGTAGCCTTTCCCTTCTCCAGGGGATCTTTCCAACCCAGGGATCAGACCAAGTAGGCACATTATAAAGAAAAATAGGTATAGTTTTCATATGTGACTTAGAATGTGATCAGAATAGGGCTGAATGCCAGCCACAATTAACAGTAGGGAAGCATCAGTCATTAATGATTCTGTCCATTCTTACTGGTCAGTGTCCTTGCTGAGCATATTGATAATGATTTTAATCTCTCTCCCATTCACCTAATCATGATCCCAAATTAATTCTTTTTCAATCATTACTTAATAAAAGTGTCATCGTCTCAAGAAAGTAATACAGATTTTATTCAAAACAGTTTCTGAGGCTGTGTTAGAGTCAGTGTAATTCCCGTCCAATCTCTGTCCATTAGCTTGTACTTACATATTCATTCAGTGCTGCACACTGAGGGCGGCAGGGAGGGGACCAGAAGTAAAACCATCAACATCAGAGAAACATCCTCCTCTCTGCTCACATTCAGGAAGACAGGGAACATAGAAACATTTGTGACAAAGATGAAGCGACTATATTTCTCCTTTATTACTTCCAAAGTAAGTTCACCACCATCTCACTATGCATCCTGATCCAATAATATATTTTTTTAATAAACCCAGGGATGCAGTTTATTAAAAATTTAAACTTGCCCTTATAAGCCTTACGGGAACCAAACTTGAGATAGCCAGAGATTTCTGGCCAGCTCATCATGATTATTTTTTGAACTCTGGACATTTACGTATGCAGCTCCAAGCTGATTTGCATTTTGCACCAGTTACAGGAATGGATCTGCCAGGAAGTTTTGAAACCCGAGGACAGATAGGCCCCTTTCTTGGTTAAATCACAGCTCCAGTCCTACAGATCAGCCCAGCCGGACCCTCCAGATCTTTTGCAATGAGCATTTTTAAACACATGGGTCATTTAATTCTGGCTTCCAGGCAGTTCAGCAAAATGCTTAGGCTAGAGAATTGCAAAAGTTTATGATTTCTCACCAAGGAATGAAATGTGACGCAGTAGAGCACAGTGCAGACATTTAATACCAGATGTTAATGTAAAAATTGGAAAATTGTGGCCTCACATAATTATCTGATCCCTGACCCACAAAAGCCACTTACAGTCCAGAAGGCATCATCGTTTCTGGCTTCTTCCACTATTAAACTTTGTATCTAATTTTTTAAATCTAAAATAGTAATTCTGAGTTATTTAACTGAGGTAACTAGATTATATAAATCTCAAGGCATTTTGTGCACATACTAACAGAGTAATATAAGTCCTGGTTTAAAAATCAGAAGTAAAGTCTTTCTGATTTGTTGTTTTCTAGTAATTAAAAAAAAAATAGTGTCAAGCACATTTTCCTTTTCTATACTCCACCACTATCTATTAATAACTTCATGACATGCGTAAGGGAAAGGTAAAATCTTGCTAATTTCATTGAAAGAGAACACCTGAAATACACATTTCAAAATACATTGAACTTGCTTGCACTGATTCCCCGAATCTGTATCCTTAAGCAAAATGATCGGTTTAGGAGGAGAGACTGCTGAGATATCCCAGATCTCTGAGGAGAGCCTGGTGCTAGGATGGAGAAGCGCAGGTAAGAGGCTGCAGACTTGCTGTTACTCGGTGAGTTAAGTCTCTTACCTCCTGTGTGACCCTGGACAAAGCACTTAACCTCTCTGTGCCTTAGTTCCCTCTTCCTAAAAGTGAGTTCAACATGATCACTCTGCCCAGCTGACAGAGTTGTGTAAGGCTCAAAGAATACACAGACTGAAAAATTCTATATAACTAGGAAGGAACTAGCTCAAGTTCTGTTGTTTCAACTTGAATCTTGAGGAAACTGGGACCCAGAGAATCTCCTCTAAGCGCAGGGATAAGGTATTGAGAATCTTAAAGAGGCCCTCTTTTTACCCAGTATGAGTGTCTTACTTTTATTTCTTTATACTTTTGATACTAAAAATGGCAGAGAGGAAAGGAGTTATGAGATCTTAGTGAATCACTAGGAAGAAACTCTGTTCAAGTGACTCAGACAGAAGCACTACTATGGGGTTTAGCAGCTCTATGAGGCGAGACCGAGAAAGATCTGTAGATAGAAGGACACCAGGGACTGTTCTACAGAAACAGAAGCCAGTGCCAGAGTCAAGCCCTGCCCTCAAGACAGCATCCAGTTTGGTCTTTTTCCCTTTCACTCTTCTTTCCTCCCTTCCACCCTCCCTCCTTCCCATCAAAAACAATTACAAATACATAGCAGGCAGTACCAGCAAAACCAACTTATAGAATGTGTGAATAAGAAACTGTCTTTGAGACCATGCTGGCCATTTTCTCCATTGATGAACTGACCCTAAGGTCTAGGGTAGTTGGGTGGCATGCCCTGCCTCACACCGTCAGTAGCATCACTGCCATAAGAAGTCAGAGCTCCTGACCAATATTCCAATGAAATTTTCTTTTTTAAATTTAATTTTTATTTTGTATTGGAGTATAGTGGATTTACAATGTTGTATTTCAGGTATACAGCAAAGGGATTCACTTACACATGTACATATATCCACTCTTCTTCAGATTGTTTTCCCATGTAGATTATTACAGAATACTGAATAGAGTTCCCTGTGCTATACAGTAGGTATTTACTGATTATCTATTTATACATGGTAGTGGGTTTTGCCAAGAGAACGCACTGGTCATAACAAACACCCTCTTCCAACAACACAAAAAAAGACTCTACACATGGACATCACCAGATGGTCAACACCGAAATCAGATTGATTTTATTCTTTGCAGCCAAAGATGGAGAAGTTCTATACAGTCAGCAAAAACAAAACCGGGAGCTGACTGTGGCTCAGATTATGAACTCCTTATTGCCAAATGCAGACTTAAACTGAAGAAGGTAGGGATAACCACTAGACCATTCAGGTATGACCTAAATCAAATCCCTTATGATTATACAGTGGAAGTGAGAAATAGATTTAAGGGACTAGATCTGATAGACAGAGTGCCTGATGAACTATGGA